TATATATATATATATATATATATATATATGTTCCTCCCCCTTCCCTTGTGAAGGCCAAAGTTAACTAAGAAGCTAATGATAACCATCATAAAGCCTGTCATTTGATATAATAGTAATAATAATAATAATGTTAACGAAGGTACATCAGCTGAGGAGGTTTGCCATCTCAGTCACTGAAGTGGGCGGGGGCCGATCCTTCTTATTTAAACAACATAGTCTGTCAACATGCATGGAAAATAGAAGATAATCATTTGCTATAATTCAAAAATGACATGTGTTGCAAATGTTCCATAACACGAGTACAAGAATCACACGATGACTATTCGGTAACTCGACTCCAATCGCCTTTATTGTGTGTTGAAAGCTGTGTTATTTGATGACAAAAATCTTCCGGAAATATAAAATTAAAAGATTCTTTTAATATTATTGTGGATTTTAGGCATTATTTTGTGTTGATAATAAACCCTGCTATTTTATCTATTTCTCATACTGATACGTTTTTCTCACACATTAGCTTACGCACCTGAATAATAGTCGACTATAGGTTGAAATAAATATTTTTGAGAAAGACTTTCATTTATTTTTAGCGCACAATTAAGTTCTTTTTATGCAAAAAAAATATCGGCCTAATTGTTATATCAAAAATTACAAATTTTTAAAAAGGATCGCACCTTTAAAATCCTTCTTTCAGCGAAATGTTCGAAATGCTAAACTTCTGCCAATTCTTGAAAGGGAAAATGATTTTCAAGTAGCGTAAGAAGAGAAACATGGCAATTTCGTTGTTTTATAAATGCCCTACAGGGTATGAAATTTAGAAGATTTAACAAGCGAGAGCGACATCACTGCTTTAAACGCTGAGTTATTGAAAGTAGGTATACATTATTGTTACAGAATAAGAAATTTTCATTTTGATCTAAGCAACTGATGTAGTCTCTGAACATTTTTGTCCGCAAAATAATTGCACATAGTAAAATCGAAATGGGCCCATCTAAATATCATTGTGCATTATTCATACAAAGTGGGCAACGTTATTTGCAAAATCACCTGACATATGATTCCCAGGAGATAAGAATTACAAACAGTGAAAGTGAGTGAACAGGAAGTAAGATCAATTTGCTTAATAAAGGTCACAGCTTTTGAGCAGTAAAGATTTAAAATGGCTTTAATGCCCTCTAAGCAATATATACGCTTAATTACTCTTCAAGGTCATTGAAGAAAGAGTAAACACTAAATGGGTAAAGTAGATGGAAATAGATGGCCAGTGTTAATGACTATTAACATTAGTGCAGATTCATCACAGAGTAACAAACCAATAAGCACATTTACAGCCAACTTTCTCACCGAAGCCCTAGTCATTTTCCGCATGACACGATATTACTAATATACCAACCAATGTAATCTTGCGTGCCTGTTGCATTTCAGACCTAAACTTTGTCCAAAATTCGTCCAAGATTGGGTCTGTAAAGACGGAGTGGGAACGCTTTCTTGGTTTCATTTAAAATCCACCTTAAAGTCCCAGTTTAAAGCCTCAATTTTAAAACTTCAAAGAATTCCCGAGCTACTAGTAATGGCAAAAAAGTACTTTTACAACTTCACAAAGTGAAGCTGTTTTATTTTAAAAAAAGTTTTTCTTTTTGTACAAACTAAAATTAATAAATTATACCTCAGTAAATTTGCACCCAGTCACTTTCTCTACCTTTGTTTTTTCCGTTTTTATTAGCTCCAAAATTGTCAAGGTCAGGGTACCATTCATGATTTCTTAAACTCCTTGTAAAGCCATTGATAATATTGTATACAGCTCTCTTTAGTTCCCCGAATTCTTTAGTCTGAAGTATATTTTCACTTGCTTGCTGACTTTCAGAGTGTTGTTTGTGATGATGGTGTCGTTGCTTGTGACGACTGTTAGCTTGCTTCAACGTGTCATAGGAAGCAGAGATTTTCCTTTGCTCATCCACATGGGGACAAACATTTGGCATTACCGCCTGTTGTTGGCACCCACGACAACCAGGAGTGATGATGGATTTACTTCGAAGAGTTCTGTGTGATGACCTCCGACTACGTCTTCTCGCATATTTCCGATCGTATCTAGGTATTCTTTCGTAGTAAGTGTCCGTCGAGTTGGTACTTGAGTAACTGGAGGTCTCCGATTCATCAGAATCGAATCCGTAACGATAGAAATTGTCCATATAATGTCTAGAATTACGTCGACCACTAGGCTTATTTTTACGGTCTTCATTGTAGCATAATATTTGATGCTGACGTTCAGGTGATTGATAAGAATAATCTCCACTTCCTGAATAGTAATTTCTAGTCAAGCTTTTAGTAGTTGATTTGTGAATGTGTTGCCTGTGGCGAGGGGAGTGGGATTCTCTGCGTTGATATATTCGATTTCGATGCTTGCAATATGAATCTACCATGCTTAAGACGCATAAAAATGCCTATAAGTGGTTTATATTAGCGTGGCATGGAGTGCGCTAATGCTCGTTAGGGCGAGGAGCACCACTAATAATTACTCGCAATAATTAAATTACCCCCAAACTGCCAACAATGCACCCATCCGTTGCCAGTTTTCCAGTGATTTCGCAAAAGAGCCGTTAAAACTGTTGCCATGTGGGAATACGTCTATGAAAATTTGCCTTAGAATGCATTTTTAGGGAATCGAAACTGCGGAGAGGTAAATTGGATTGCCTCAGCCTCAAATCAAAAGGCACCAAGATTAACTGAAAGAATAAGCAAAAGCCTTTTCAATTACTAACTAGATTTCATGTTCAAGGCCAAATTCGTGTTGACTGCAACGAGAGTTCCTATGTGGGCTGCATCCAATCACACATAAGAATATATATTTATTTATTTATATTTATATCTATATCAAATGGCAGGCTTTTTGATAGTCATCATTAGCCCTTTAGTTGACTTCAGGCTTCACTGAGGGAAGGAACATCAAAGTGAGAAAATTTTGAGAGGGGGAGCAGAAAAGAGATTGAAGATGTAAAAGAGGCAGACGCAAAGGTAGAAAAAGGTGAGGTGAGAAGAATATGACATACAGTGGGGTGATGATAGTTTGAAGTCAGAAGTCAATAGCTGGTAAATAAACTTTTCGGCTTATGAGAATACGTTTCCCAGGGTGCACCACGTGGAATTATGTCTATCGCGCGCCCCATATATACAAATTATAAATATAGCAAATATTCCTGGTAAGAGACCAATTAAACCCTACACCTTTATATATTTGAATATCAATTCTAACCGATACATAAACCTGGTCAATTTCATCGCCTGGCGTAAAATTAATCAAAGTGCCAATGAAGACAGGGAACAGAATTCATTGAGAAATTTTTCTGTTGTCAATTCTGGATTTCGTAACCTTGAAATCTGCTAACGAACTGAATTTTGCTAAAATCAAAATTGCTTTTCACTGTTAGTATTCGAGTGAATTCAGTACACCACCAAGTACAAATCCTGCTCAAACTCTTGGCTAAATACCGAGGCGAAAGTGACAATTCACTTCGATAATCCTATTCAAGGTGTAGAAAGAACTTACCTAGTGGAGTTTGGCTCAACAGTAGAAACAGGATAGAAACCTTGAACTTTTTCAGTAAAAAGGTTACTATACTCCAATTACGCAAGCATGTAACTCGATATAACATCCCGGAATAGTTCGATGATGATATAATGAAAAAGGAGTGTGCAATATACTTACTTCCATGTGATCTATCCTAGGCAACGTATACTAATGCAACAAAAAGGTCTATAAACCGGCAGTTGAATTCTGACTTCAAATTGCAATGACCTCATTGTATGTCATATTCGATCACTTCCACAGTACTCACTTTGCCTTACCTTTTCTCTGCCTTTGTGTCTATCTGTCTCTTTTCCATCCATGAATCACTCTTCTATCCCACCCTCTCTCGACTTTTTTTACTCTGATGTTCCTTTCTCTCGGTGATACCTGAAGTTAACCAAAGGGCTAACGATAACTATCAAAACGCCAACCATTTCAAATAAATAAATAAATATTATGGAAAGGTAGATCCACAAGGATTGGTTGTTTCCATAGGTAATTAATCAATGTAACAAGTTTGAAAGAGATAAAATTATTTTATTGCTGAAGCTGTTGTTTAACAGTACCAAGCCTGCACATCCCAAATTAAGATTACTAAGTAGTACAGAGACATTCGAGAGTGTGCAGGAAAAGTATGATTTGCGGCTTGAAAGTGTTCAAAAGTGGAATTGTACGCAAGCACGCCCATGAAATAAGAACAATTTGGATGAATTAGCGTAACAGCCAACAATAAACCGTAACAGAGGTAAGTGCATATATGTGGATGCGAGCTGGGAAGTCGGGGAGTACACATGCAGGATCTGAAGTTTATTTATTTGTGAATATTTACTGTCAATAAAACTGAAAAATAAGCGAAAAAAAATGTATAACCAAATCGAGCAAATGCTCCACGCATGATAGGGAGAAGGCATGGGATTGTCAGTAGTAATAATTTCAATTTTTTCATCAAGATATCTTCTCGGGCATTTGAACAAATTAATTTTCACGAATTTTGGCAAACAAAATAGCAAATTTCCTTATAATTCTTTACTTAAAACTTTATCGTCGAATTTAATTTTGGAAATACGTGCACTTTCGCATTATTATCCTGAGTTCATAGTTGTTTTAATGAAAAGAATGAACAATTTATTCTTAAAAATGACCTTCACAAAAAATTACTTCAGGTCAGCGAGGGGTGTGCGGCAAACTTATCTCCACGTGATGCACCCCGGGCAACGTATACACATACGGCAAAAAGTCTATTAACCGGCAGTTGACTACTGACTTCAAACTACTATTACTCTACTGTAAGTCGAATTCGACTACTTCCACAGTACTCACTCAATTTTATTCTACCGTTATGTCTTTGAAACACTCTTATGTTCCCCCCCCCCTCCCTCTCGACTTTCTTTCACCTTGCTGTCCCCCCCTCTCACGATGAAATGGAGTCCTTTAACACAATTTGCCCAAATATGAACGCCATGCATTACTCTCTTTAATTCACATCCAGCCTTGAAATAAGTGGGCTTATTGCCATATTTCCTGGCCATTGATTCACAGAACTGTATTTGCCATGAAAAATTCATTATATCTTTTTGAAATTTAAATCCAATTTTACAATTTGCCATTCACAGTATACTTTAAGTGCATAACACCAACAAGAATGGGGTACAAATTAGCCAATACCGTTGAATCATCCCAAAAGGAATCATATTTAACCTCGAGTTTTCTTAAAAGACGTAATTGCAAACTTGATTTTATACAAGTTTGCTTCCAAGATACAGACTTAGTGGAAATTAATAATTCGAAATCAGACGACGTGACCAGACCACATTCGAAGATTGGGCACACGAATAAAATGAAATAAATTATGGATTAAAGACTTTGAAGAGGACACCGCCGATTTATGAATCAAGCCAGTTCCAAAGAAGATGTTTTCTATGCCAAAGTAAATGGTAGTTTTTGTTATTTTTAACTTTTTTATTAACACGCAGTTGTTCATTCATTCAAATTGAATTTCATCATTCAATTTTGTTATGTATACCCTTACTTTTCTTCAATTGCAAAGAAAGCTTTTTCAATATTCACAAGAGTTTTTTCCTAATGTTTTTGTTTCGGTAATATAAGTACTGTTTCAATGAAAGTGTAAACACTATTTGGACTTTTTTTGGTTATCTACTAATTGTGATTGCGAAATATATTTGTAGCACGAGTTAATTTCATTTTAATCAATGGACTTTTGAACAAAAGATAGAAACGCCTGACTAATAACACCAAAATATTTATCTCAGTTTTGAACATCCCCTGAAATTGAATAAAATTCAAAAACTGCGGTTGACCTGACCGCTGAGCGCTGAGCACTTGAAGGTCAGATTGGTAGTTATTCATATTGAGCAGTAATTCTGAATCCCGCTTGACAACATGTCTATACCATAAATTGAAATATGCTTAAATATCTTGGTGTAGCACAGCAAACCAATTAACCTTGAAAAAAAAACAATAAGCCCGGCAGAAAATAGCAACCAGATATATTTGTTACAATTGAAATCAATTTTAAAACACCCTAATCTGTACTTTAATAAGTTCATTTTACTTAAACAGATCTTTGTCTTACTGACCCACTGATGGAAGTGACAGTGCTAAGCGAGTTCCCACCAATTTTTAGTTCTTGAATGGCAAGTGAGATTGAACATGTTCAACAATGAGGATGAGGATGAAAAATAATATGCGTGAATTTTATAAGGAGCTCTATTTATTTTAAATACTGAAAATACCCAATGGTTGACTTACTAAAAGGAAATAGTTTACTTCTCAGTACTCAAGCCAACCTTGTAGCGGATTGCTACGCTAGTAAAGCCTGACTGACTGAGAAATCTCTGTGGCAGACTCCACAGCATCTAGCTAGACTCCCAGAATAAGCTAAGCCATAGCCCAGCTATAAAGGAAACAGACGTACAGCTGGGAACACGTTTATTCAGTATCTTGTGAGCAAAGTGTACACACAGGGAGCTTAATCATGATCAGGATGGCGGATTAGGTTAAACGAACGGAGGCTACTGATTGGCCACTGTTTGTACGGTCG